TTTGTTGCTTTTGTTTACACTGTTTATTGGAAAGGGCAGCTCCATAGAAATGGCCTTGTGGTCAGAGACACCAAGATCACGTGCAGTCACATTACTGGCAAAAGCTGACTCTGTGATAATCAGATCCAAAGTGTGCCCCTGGTGTGTGTACATGGACTGTACTTATATTGCACCTTTCTAGCTTATTTCAAGATACTCAAAGCGCTTTGTGTGGGAACATCAACATGCTGATTTAAATGAAAGCAATCCAAAAGTTGAAGAAATTCAGCTGCAAAGCTGCAGGAAGGATCATCAACATGGATGTTAAAATCACCAAGTAGTAAGAGGTTAGCAGATGTAGCACAAAAGGATGAATGAAGATTTGACATCTCAGAGATGAAGGCTGGGTGGGGTTTGGGTGGTCGATAGATGAGGAGAGCTGTCATAGAAGAAGGGGGTTTGCTTTTAAATTAAACATTCAAATAATTAAACATTCAAAAGAATTAAACATTCAAAAGAAGTTAAGTCTGGCAGGGGAAGCGGGGATAAATCCAGATCTTTGCAATAAATTGCAGCCAGACCACCACCACGTCCACTGCTGCAGGCTTTCTGCACATGACAGTATCCAGGAGGGCAGGCTTCATTGAGTGCTGAGAACATGTTTGTTTGATGCCGTGTTTCTGTGAGGCACAAACAGCAATCCAGAATGTGGTCATGTAAGAAGCTGGACTTGTTTGATATAGACTGTGCATTAAACAGCTCCATTTTAGGTTGTTTTCACACCTGATAGTCCAGTAGACTCGGTTCAGTTGGGAACCAATATTCATAACATTTTGTTTACATTTGAGCTGGTGTGTTTGCATTCACACTGCACTGTGCAGTCGAGCCAACCTGTTCCTCCAACCGCCTGTGGTGGCGCTGCATCAAGAACTACTGAAAGAAACGACACAAAAACCTCTGAAGAAGACACTTCTTCTTCTTCTTCTGGAAATAAAAACAAAAACGGAGCGGTGTCAAAAAGCGGTTGTATGAGATATTTTGTCATTTTTCAACCATGGACTCAGCATGAGAAGATGAGGCAGAAGATGTTAAATGGTAAATGGACTGTACTTAGATAGCGCCTTTCTATCTTATTTCAAGCTACTCAAAGGGCTTTACACTACAATCTGTGTCCTCATTTACCCATTCATACAGCACTCTCCATCTCTACAAAGCTAACTGAACAAATCATTCTAAAGAGACTAATCAGAGCTTTATCACATTCATACACCGATGGGACACACATCAGAGGCTATGAGGGGTTCAGTGTCTTGCCCAGGGACACTTTGGCATGTGACTGCTGGTGGATTCAAACCCCCAACTCTCGCATTGGAGGATGACTGCTCTAACCACTCAGCCACAGCCGCCCAGACCATGGAGAATATTGTTTTTCACACAAGGCAACCTGACAGCTCCATATGAGGTAAGAAAAATGTGTGTTTGTTTGCCCTGCGTTGTAGTCCACTTCCTGCTTGCGGAGCGGTGCACGGTCTGCTTGCATTCATACTGTACTCGAACCGCGCTGAAGTTCTCTTCTACCGGACCGAGACCTAGGTTTTAGACCAGGCCAGAGTTCACCTTTTTGTTCCGTGACAGAGTTCGAAGGCGCGTTCACACCTCCCCAAACGAACCGGACTTCCTAGGCAAACGGGCTAGAGTTCAGGACAACAGGGCTGGTGCAAATGCACCCTTTATGTTCTCAGGCTTAGAATGACGTTTTAAGGGCCATAGCAGGCTGAAATCCACTCCAGAGCTTCCATCCAGCCCAGTACGTTTCCATGCGGTGACGTTTCCAGAACAACACATAGGAAGTGGGAGAGCGTTTTGATGATGTGTGAGTGACGTGACGGAGCGTGCTGTGCAGAGTGAAGGAATGGCGGGAGCAGTCCGAGAGTAAACAAACTTTTGGCGAGAGCTCCTATGAATGTATCTTGGACATAGAAGGATTCCCAGTTTTTTTGAGGAGTGGAAGACACATCGGTGTAGTCCAGTTGTTAAGTGTCAACATTTGGTAAGTCAGCATGGCCTCGTCCCGGCTTCACACGAACAGCGAGCAAGATGTCCGTGCGTTTCAAAACAACAAATCTCACAGGGCAAAGAAGGATCTTTGGTGACTGTCCTGGTAGAGGAACTGCTGGAGCCAATGAGTCACGCTGAAAACTCCCAAGAATCATTGTTAATATTTTGTATCAAATCTGCTGAGACGTGGAGAAGTGACGAACATTCAACGCGAGCGTCCTCTTCAGCGTCACCCCGTTTCATTCTCTCACTGCAAAATGTGTTTTATTTGCAGATGATACCACATTTTTTTTGTTCAGGTGAAGATATTGAACGGATGTTAGAGATGATACAGGCAGAATTTTTAAAAATACAAACTTGGTTCCAACTTAATAAGTTATCATTAAATTTGGAAAAAAACAAACTACATGATATTTAGTCATAGAAATAAAATTATCGAAGTCCCATTTAAAGTTGACAGTATTAAAATTCACAGAGTTAATGAAATAAAATTGTTGTGTGTCATTATTGATTAGAAGCTGACATGGAAATCTCATGTAAATTACTTAAGAATAAAAATAGCTAAATCAATTGCATTACTGTTTAAAGTAACAGAGTTTTTGAATGACAAAGCTTTGTAATATATTGTATATTGTAATGATCATTCCATATTTAATTATTGTATTGAAGTTTTCGAAAAAGCATGCACAACAATTACAAACGCTATTTTTATTTTACAAAAAAGAGCTATAAGAATTATTATTAGGAAGTGTTATGGTCACCCAACAAATATATTATTTCATCATTTGAAATTATTAAAATTTTATGATTTGGTTGAATATAGTATTTTACAATCATATATTTGGGGCGGCTGTGGCTGAGTGGTTAGAGCAGTCGTCCTCCAATGCGAGAGTTGGGGGTTCAAATCCACCAGCAGTCACATGTTGACGTGTCCCTGGGCAAGACACTGAACCCCTCATAGCCTCTGATGTGTGTCCCATCGGTGTCTGAATGTGATCTAAAGCACTGATTAGTCTCATTAGAATGATTTGTTCAATTATCTTTTTAGAGATCTAGTAGAGTGCTGTCATGAATCACGTCCCTGTATTTTGATCTTTATCACTCTGTTCA